TGCCAGGAGAGGGCACTGGATCCCCTAGAACGGGAGTTAAAGATGGTTGAGAGCTGGTATGTGGGTGCTGGGAATTGCATCCAAGTTCTCTGGAAGAGCAGCCAGTGCTCTTACCCACTGAGCCATCTCTCCAGCCCCTACTATTTTATTTTATTAGTAGTATTACATTTTCACAGTACTGTGAATTGAACCCAGGGCATGCCAGGCAACTGCTCTATGACTATGCTACATTCTCAGCCATGAATAAACCCAATCAAGTAGAAAATTATTTTAATTCTTAGCCATGAGCTAAGCTTTTCTTTCAGAACTATCTCAATTGCTGTTTGGTCATGTGCTCACACAGTCATTCACCCCAGGAACAGCTTCAGCCCACCTCCTACTAAACTCTCTAACTCCACCCCTCAAAAGGGCAGTTTCTAAGCCAAATACCATTAAAAAAAGAAACAGCACCACCCTTCCTAGAAACTTTCATTAAATATTTGAAAAATTTAAAAAAAAATTCTTATTTACTATGCAAACTTAAAACTTTTCTGCTGCTATTTTTAGGTTTTATTTCGATGTTAAGTGTTAGGCTTTAATTTTAAAATAAAACCTAAAATAATGCAAAACAAAATTGTTTTAGCTTAGAAGAAAACTGTCTGCCTACATAAGGCCAACCCTCTCCATTTTCAATAAGATTTGCATATGATACAATGCATATTGTGTAATATATGGCGATATGTTACAGAAGAGGATAGCACATATGCTGTTCTCCCATCTCCTATTTCCATATTTTAATATGCTAGTCATATTAAAAAGCAGAAGACTGACTTGTACTATTTCAGAGTGTGCATGTAATGTTATTATCATACGTCTACAGAATTCTCTATGGTTGGTATTTTCTTGTTGGCTTTAATCTTACTAACGCTGCGGCAGAGGGAGTCATATTAAAACTCATTCTTCTTTGAGGCTGAGACCTAGAGAAGAAGTCAAGGAACTCGTCCTAATATCAAAAAAAAAAAAAAAAATGACCAAGCAAGGACTTGAACTCAAGAACACGAGTCTAGGACTCACGTCATGACAGCATGGTAATACCCTCTGCCTGAAGTCTCAGCCGGAGGATTCAGGATGCTCGAACTAGCTCGCATCCTGAGAAACGACAGCGGGTCCACACTGCATCCCTTCTCCTGCGGCAGCGAGATGCTATTTCCTACAGCGGGGAAATGGTGGCCCTCCATATTCTCCTCACTCTGAAGTACCAGCTGTTGATGTTGAGTTTCTGCCTCCCAATACTTGGGCTGGGATGAGCACACAGATGTGCTTGAGGATTGATGGGACTGTTACACTGAGCTTGCCAGCTCTGCCTGCTTCCCAGCCTAAGCCGCTTCTTTAACAAAAAGGACCAGACTCTGAGATGCAACCCTGTTCAGGTGAGACTGGCTCTCCTGCCTGTCTGTATTCTTAGCGTCAGGACCAGAGATCTCAAAGAATTCTAAACTAGGCATATTAGGCACACTTGTCAGGCAAGCACTCGGGATCAGGAGTTCAAGGTCATCCTCAGCTACATAAGAAGCACAAGGCAAACCTGGGCCACAGAAGAGCCTATCTTAAAAAACAAAACAACAAGATGATTTCAGATATAAACATGCCTGTGTTTTATATAGGTCTAAGCACATCATATACAGTAGGAAATCAACTTTATTTCATTTTGGTTGTTGGATCCACTCGGACCCTCAGGAGAATTTCAGTAAACCAGTTAGAAAATTTTAGTCCAAGAACTCTGCAGGTAGAGGAGGGGGATCTCTGAGTTCGAGGCCAGCCTGGTACAGAGTGAGTTCTAGGACAGCCAGGACTACACAGAGAAACCCTGTCTGGAAAAACAAAATAATGACAAAACAACAACCTCCACAAACTAACAAACAAACAAACGACCCCTCACCCCAAACTCCAACCAAACAAACAAAAATGAAAACAGAAAAAGGAAAGAAAAGAAAGTTCTATGTTACTTACTCCAGCCAGTGAAGCTATGAAGGAGAATTGGGAACCAGGGAGACTGAACTGCCCAATTTCCAGTCTTTTCTGAGGGAACTTCAAGAACTGGCAGGAATTTTGGAGAGCTGAGGACTTTGTTTTTCTGTGTCTTTGTCTGAGACAATGTATGTAGCCCTGGCTGGCTAGAACTTGCTGTGTAGACCAGGCTGGCCTTGAACTCACAGAGCTCCACCTGCCTGTGTCTCCAAGTGCTGGGAGTAAAGGCGTGCACCACCTGCTTGGTAATTTTGGAAAGTTTTTATGGGCTTGCTAACTAGACAGAGGAGTGGCAAGGCTGAACTAGACAGCATAACAAACACATCTAGAGACCTGAGGTACAGCCCAGGTCTTAGACCAGACACCAAACAATCACGGCCTCGACTGTGACTTGAAGTACCTTTGGCCCAGATTATTATTTTTCCTCCTGTCATTAATAACTGACCGTAGGTGACGCTGAGTTCAACTATTACAGGGGAAATGTATTCCCCCAATTCCCAGGCAGATACATGCAGTTTATTAGGTATCTTTGGAGTTTACTTCTTTCTTTAGATCCTAAATTGGCCCCTAAATTAGGTCAAGGGATTGGGCGAGAAGGTTCTTCCTGGGATGAGGGGAAGACAGGGAGTGAAGCCTGACAGTCACATCACACCGGGGCCTAGCTCAGGTTGGTGTGTTAGGGAGTAATACCTAATCCCTAGACTCAAGGGTCCCATCCTCTTCCTGCTCTTCCTCCTCCTCTGTGGAGAACATTTTAAAACAAGAGGAAAAGTGTGAGAGAAACCACAATGTTCCCCTACTCCCTACCCCTAAGTGTGGATGAAATAGGAAGAAATCTGCTTCCTCCCACCTCAATAATATTTTCAAACTTTGGTCCCCTGGTGGGCCGCCCTTTCCATCTCCATTCTTTTTCATTGGCTTGCATCCCTTCTGCAAGTCAACATTCTCTACTCTCTCCCTACCCCTCCTCTCTCTCTTGAAGTTGCTGGCTGCCTGGATCTAAAACAGAGCGCATATGAAGAGGATGAGGTATCAGAGAAGTGTTTTTGAGCTCTTTCTACCAGAGGGCTAAGCGAGGCTTACAGCTGCTTACAGGAAAGGAAGGCAGTGATTCTGATAATGCGGAATAGAAAGAGGAGGAGAGACTACAGGGCTGGACTGCTGACAAGGGGGTGGCGATGGGAGCCGGCAAGGTGGAGAGACACAGAGATGCAGACAACTTTGAGGCCCTTGAAGAGAGAGAGGAATGCAGGCCTGGCTTGTTTTAGGATAAGGAAACCTGAGAGGCTTCAAGGCTTGCTGCAGACCTGTCCCACCTGCTTTGGCTTCCTCCCCTGAGCGCCAGTGTTTACTGAGACCCCTTCCTGAACTCTTGCCCTCCTGGACTTGCCCTAGCTCACCAGGCCTGTGGCCAGGCAGACACCCTGACAAGTTACAAATGAGAGTGGGTGTTGGATTCATGTCCTCAGAGTCTGGAGGAGGAGACATCAATGGGATCTGCCCAAGAAGCTTCTCTTCTAATCCCAAGATGTGTTTCAGAGTTAGTGAAGCACTTCTGCTTTCCCTCCCCCAATCTTAACCCAAAAGAAAGAGAGAAAAAAATGAACTCCCACTTGTAAGTTAGTTCACTTAGTTCTGAAACTGTATCAATTCTCCCATTTCTCTGAGCAAACGAAGCTCCCTTTATCTATTCTAGAACATCCGTGGAAAAATTTGAATAACCATTAAAACTTCACTAGCATTGGATTTGTGTATCTGAGGCTTAAAAAAAAAAAACTTTTAGGGAGACTAAAGATAATAATAATAGACAGAGAGAGATAGGAGAAAACAAGAGTCTCTCCTAGTGTTAAACTCTTTTGAAAAGAGAATAAAATTCCCCTTTCTTCCCACCCCTCTGTAAATATCACCTGGATCTTCTCATTGCCGCTCTCCAGAGAGATATAGGGAGTTATTTAAGTCTGAGTGAGTGAGCCAGCTACCGCTATGGATGGCTAGAGAGAGGATAAATACATCTAGAGAGATGAGTTGATGGATAGGTAGGGAACGAATATAAATATGGAGAGAGATGGACGAACAGAGAGATGAATTGAGACAGAGAGAATATAAAGAGAGGCTGAGGGAGAGAAATGGATGTGTGAATGAGGAGAGAGCGTTTACTCGGAGAGATGGAGAGAGGAACGGGGCATTTCTCATCTTCTCCACATTTCTGTGGCCCTCTCTTGTCCCCTTGAAATGCCATTTTTCCCCTCCCTTTGATTTGTAATGAGTTCTTCTGGATTTTAGAGCCTGCCTCACACCCTGAGGTGTTTTCACAGCCGCACCCCCTCCCTTCCTGGTCATCCTTTTGTCCCAAGATAACATACCTAACTAGGCTGCCCTAGCTCATCATCCCAAGACAAACCGGGGAGAGAGAAACATGGAATGGGGGTTCTAAGCAAAGGAAGGAAGGAGCCTGGCTCTCCCATCTCTACCTCTACAGCCTTGGGGTGGGGGGGGTTGACTTTGAGGGGAGAATCGAGTGAGGGGCAGCTGGGTTAAATTTGTCCAAATCTAATAATCCAGGAACCTATTGAAGGCCTTGGGGGTTGGGAGGGAAGGAAAGTCTTGAATATTCTTCCAACTTCTACCCCCCCACCCCTTCCCTCTGGTGCCTTCTTTCCAAAAAGTCTTTGAAGAAAGATGTTTTTGACGCTTCCACGTCGTTTTCAGATGGATGGGCTCAGGGTGATTGAAGTGTCTTTGTCATGCTAATGCTTGGGGGGTGATGGATGGGCGCCCGGGCTGCCAAACTCTGGCCCGCTTAGCCCATTGGCCTGGGAGAGATCACATGTGGCCCTCCACCCCCACTCCCTACACCCTTCCTAGGGGAGCGCTGGCCCGGGCACGCTGGCCCAGGCCATGGACTCAAGCCTCAGCGCTGTGACATACTGCCGAAAGGTTGTAGGGCAAGAGGGTGTCTCCCCCAAACGGCCCGACCCTCCTACGGCCTCTACATGGACTATAATAGGATGAATTCCTTTCTAGAGTACCCACTCTGTAACCGGGGACCCAGCGCCTACAGCGCCCCAACCTCCTTTCCCCCAGGCTCAGCTCCGGCCGTTGACAGCTACGCAGGGGAGAGCCGCTACGGCGGAGGGCTGGCCAGCTCCGCGCTCCCACCAAACTCGGGGTATCCCGTCCAGCAGCCGCCTTCATCCCTGGGGGTGTCTTTTCCCAGCTCTGCTCCCTCGGGGTACGCCCCAGCCGTCTGCAACCCCGGCTATGGGCCTTCTCAGTATTATTCCGTGGGTCAGTCGGAAGGAGACGGAGGCTACTTTCACCCGTCGAGCTACGGAGCCCAGCTAGGGGGCCTGCCCGACGGCTACGGTGCGGGCGGAGCAGGCCCAGGGCCCTACGCCCCGCCGCAGCCCCCTTACGGAACCGAGCAGACGGCAACCTTCGCACCAGCCTACGATCTCCTTCCCGAGGACAAGGACCCCTCTTGCTCGTCAGAACCCAGCACTCTCACCCCCCGGACCTTCGACTGGATGAAGGTCAAGAGAAACCCACCCAAGACAGGTAGGGCTCAGAGCGCGTTCACGGCCTCGGCTCGGCTCGCGCGTGCACACAGGGGCCCGAGCCTGAGCTGGGTTCATCCCTCGTCGAGCTTTTGGTATTGGCAGGTAAGCACTTCCGGCGGGGGGGGGGAGGCTCAGGTCAGCCGAGAGATTTTCCCACTCCGTGAGTTCGGGGCCACCTCCCTAAGGAGGCCCTCCTCGGCCTACTTCCTCGTCCGTGCGCCCAGCGTGAGGTCAGTGGCTTCACGTTTCTATCTGAGGGTGAGGACGGGCGGGGGGGAGGTCGGGTCTAGATTTGGGAAATAACTAATGGCTGTGTGGGTGGGTGGGTGTGGGGGGTAGCGTGTGCGGTGCTGCGCAGGGACCTAAGTTGGGTGGGATGATGGATGAGGGCACCGAGTGGGCTAGGAGGAGTGGAGGGGAGGGAGAGGGAGAGGTGAGAGCACTGATGTGGCTTTTCTCCCTCCCCCCTCCCCTCCCCTCCCCTCCCCGCTCCTCCCCTCCCCTCCCCTAGCGAAGGTAGCGGAGCCGGGACTGGGCGCTCCCGGCGGCCTCCGCACAAACTTCACCACGCGTCAGCTGACCGAGCTGGAGAAGGAGTTCCACTTCAACAAGTACCTGAGCCGCGCCCGGAGGGTGGAGATCGCCGCCACCCTGGAGCTCAACGAAACGCAGGTGAAGATCTGGTTCCAGAACCGGCGCATGAAGCAGAAGAAGCGCGAGCGAGAGGGGGGCAGGGTGCCCCCGGCCCCTCCAGGTGGCCCCAAGGAAGCGGCTGGAGATGCCTCGGACCAGTCGACCGGCACCTCCCCGGAAGCCTCGCCGAGCTCCGTCACCTCTTGAACTGAACTTCCTACGTCACCCAGCTCCCAGCGCCGGACCCAGGCCTCTCCTAGACTGTCCCAAACTTCACAGCCCCTGGAGAAGTTCCTCGAGGCCGAGGAACCAGTTTAGAGCTGCCTAGGAAACTGGGCAGGAGTGGGGACACATTTTATTTTTATTATTTTTATTTTAAATTTCTTCTCGGATCTAAGGGTGGAGGGATTGACTGATCGGTGGGGATCCTATGGGTCCGGGGAGCAGCCAGCCCATCAAAGGTCGAGGGAAGGCCTTTCTGCCTTTGATCTAGAGATTGGCTCAATGTCAACACGTGGGTGGGGGTAGGAGCAGCCAGCCCAGCCTTCTGAAGGCTCCTCCTTTCCCTTCCAACTGGAGTTCAGTGCCTTTGAGCTTGGAGAATTCTCCTCGAGCGCTCTTAGCCCAACTCCGCTCTCTAGGCCTGGGATAGAGAAAGTCCTTCGGGTTTTTCTCCAGGAGGGCGTGTTCGAGTGCGGGCTCCTTACCACCTTCATCGTAATCCTCAATCCAGCCAAATCACCGAAGACCTTACCATAGCCGGACTGACTGCCTTGCGACCAAAAAAAAGCCCCCCTCGTCCCAAGTAATCGCACACACCCTTTCCTGGCACACTTGTATTGCACTAACGCAGCCTTCAGAGGCTGGTTTATGAGAGCCGCCCCTTCCCCACTGGCATCACTAAATCACCAAAGTGTTGTGGAACTTGGCACTGCAGAGATCTCTGGAATGCCACTTGCAAGGACTGTCTCAAGCAAGCCTCAGCTAGGAAGGGCTGGGCATCCTCTTCCCACTCCCTATTTATTACCCCCGGGGAGGAAAAAAAACAAAAACAACCCGGATTCTCCTTTCCATAAACCACCCTATCCCTGGGGCAGTCTGGCGAGGTCCAGGAACAGCTTCGAGCATTTCCTCTGAACCTTGGAGACAGCAGAGAGACCCCTTGAGTCTCTGGGAAACCAAGCTCAGAGCAAGCCAGGTTCTTTCTGTAGCTGCAACTACCTCATTCCAATAAAGTCCGTTTCCCTCTCTTTCTGCTTCTGCTTCTCCATCTTGGGGTGGATGGAGGAGGAGCTGTGAACTCTACCAGCGAGCACTGACAGGGTCCCAACCAAGGCAGAGGCGGGCCCCAGATACTCAGCAGTCCGCCGGTCTTTCTGGAGAAAGACAGTTCTGAGACGGTCTTGAGAACAGGGGTGGGAAAGGAAGAGAACGTTTGACATGTTTGAAAGAGGGTGAAGAGATGAGGTGTGTGTGTGTGTGTGTGTGTGTGTGTGTGTGTGTGTGTGTGTGTGTTGGAGGGAAATCTACTGTTTTCTTTTTCTCTATCTCCACCCTTTTCCCCTCCAGGGCTTGAACTGGACTTTGGAAACTGTAACGTAACGAGATCAGGCTTGGAGCTCTTGGGGGTAGGAGCCCCCATTCTTGCTTGGAGAGTCAGAAGAAAGGTCGTTAGCAACTTTTTTTTTTTTTTTTTTTTTACCAGCACGCACATTAAGCCCCAGCTTCAGCCCTTACACACAGGGATATGGGATTGAGTCAGCCACAGTCCACCAGCTGGTCTTTTGGCTAGGGCTCAAGGTGCTGCAGAACAGGAAGGGGGTGGCCTTGGAAGGGGTGCATGGGGGATGGGGGTGAGGAGGTGGACTGGGGAGGTGCTGGTGATTGGGTGGACAGTGGGGCCTGGGGGTGGACAAAGGCAATGAACGGAGGGACACCAGGATCCTGAGCTGACCTTTTTACCTCTGAAAGCCTCTGGGCTCTCCAAACAAGCCTGTGGAGCGCCCAGGGGGGCAACAATTGTCTCCCCAGCCAGTACCGACAGCAAAGCTTTAGTATGCAGAGGCAGGGGGCCTGGCTCCTTTGGAAGCTCCGAAGAGGTGGCAAACTGGCCTTGCTCACAGCACCAGAGTACCATCGAAGTGACATGGGGCTCCAGGCTCTGGGCCTGGTCTATTGATTTTGGTGACCCAGAGATCCCCTAAGCTCTAGGGCCAGGACCATACACCTGGGGTGCATCGATGAGGAAGACAGGTCTTATCTGACACCCCCCCCCCATGCCGTTTATTTCATGACTTTTGAAAGGAAGACAGGCAGCAAAAAGGACTAGAACGTTTGTAAGCAATGTTAAGCGTTTGCTTCATCGTGAAATTGCCTCCCATTAGGCAGGAGGCAACGTTATCAATAATTGCACAGCTCAGCTGGAGAGGAAGAGAAGCATTCAAGAGCAAGACCAGCTTTCCCAGAGGTTGCTTTCTTGCCCTGTCTTAAAAGGAAAAAAAAAAAATCTATTAACTGCTTTTCTCCATTTAATTGAAATTGCCATCAAGCTTGGCATCCCCAAAGGGGTCACCTTGACAGGAGAGGACAGAGCAAGTGTCTTTGGAACAAATTTCCCCTTGCTTGAAGCCATTTAATACCAACTGGTTAGATCCTCTTGCTTGGGGTGTTTATAGAACCTCTAACTGTTAGCCCCTAAAGAGGAAGGCGCAGTGGTTAGGGCAAGGTTGAACTACAAGGCTGGTGGAGCTGAGTCTCAGATTTGGGATGACAGGCCATGGGGGAAGGGTGATCAAAGGGCCTGGAGAAAAGCAGAAGGCGGGAGCCTTTGATTTTTTTGTCATAGCAGAAGGACCCATCAGATTCCTCCAGGGAAGGTGTGTGTGTGTGTGTGTGTGTGTGTGTGTGTGTGTGTGTG